GGCCAGCCACAGCATCTCTGGGCAACCTGTGCCAGTGCCTCACCACCCTCAGAGGGAAGAATTTCTCCCTCAGATTCCATCGAAATCTCCCCTCTTTCAGTTCAAAGCCATTTCCCCGTGTCCTGTCACTACACGCCCTTGTCCAAAGCCCCTCTCCAGCTTTCCTGTAGCCCCTTTAGGTACTGGGAGGTGCTGGAAGGTCTCCCCGGAGCCTTCTCTTCTCCAGGCTGAACAGCCCCAACTCTCTCAGCCTGTCTCCAGAGCAGAGGTGCTCCAGCCCTCCCATCATCTCCGTGGCCTCCTCTGGACCCACTCCAGCAGCTCCATGTCCTTCTGCTGTTGGGGACCCCAGAGCTGAAGGCAGCACTGCAGCGGGGTCTCCTGAGAGCAGAGCAGAGGGGCAGAATCCCCTCCCTTGCCCCGCTGCCCACGCTGCTCTGGGTGCAGCCCAGGACACGGTTGTGGGTGTCCAGGGCTGATAAGCTTCTCATCCACCAGCACCCCCAAGTCCTTCTCCTCAGGGCTGCTCTCCATCCATTCTCCGCCCAGCCTGTCCTTGTGCTTGGGATTGCCCTGACCCACGTGCAGGACCTTGCACTTGGCCTTGTTGAACTCCATGAGGTTCTCACAGGCCCACACCTCCAGTCTGTCCAGGTCCCTCTGGATGGGATTCCAAGTTACACCTTTAGGCCTCTCAATGGCCCCGTACCAGACAGGGCTGTATTATTTTATGCCGCAGGAGTGCCTGAGACAGTCAGAATTCACTTTGCCAGCTGCTCTACTCAAAGTCACTATGTTCAGACAGTCTCCGCACCAACCAGGCACTACTACTTCTCTTGAAGCAATGACTATATTTATTCCAAGCAGCATTTGTAGCTATTTCTATAGCTATGACTGCACAAGGTCTCTCATCACAAGGGTCTTCTATCAATTAGCTTATAAGTTCAGCCAGTGAAGCACCAGAGTTCAAGAGTTTGCATGCTCAATCTATGGTTTCAGGAGGTTTTGGAGGGTTTTTCTAGTTCTATACTGAAAATACAGTTTAGCCGTTTCCCAAAATTTGGAGAAAAATGTAAGTGTAGGTAGGAATTTTTTCCTTTGAAAATTTTCAGGCTCTCCAAGAAAGCAGGAAACAATGGTTTCATTGCGTATTGATTAGTGAGGATAAAACCAAAAATGTATTTCCAGTGAATGGCAACTGAACAAGCACCAACCACGCTCCAGGTGGAATGGAGACAGTGAAACAAGTTTTGCTAATCACAGGATTAAAGAAACTAGCCCAAGCCCAGAGGCCAGCTGAAGAAACTGCTAGTTTTGGTGCTGTCATTCTTAACTTCTGAAGGTTTAATTCAAGAACTAAATAGTTCTTAACGTAGCTTTCTTGATCTACAAGCAAATCAAAAAGCTCTCTTATTGTCAGAGCGTCTGTAGCATCTTTTCTAGGCTTAGGAGGAAGGTATCATTGTTCCTACTCCACAAACAAAAGGGCAACTCCAAAAGCAAACTCACTTGCTCGAGGTTACAGAGAACAGCGGCAGAGCTGAAGACAAAGCTGCATCTTATTCTCAGAGAGCTGCTACATCACCCTGTATCTTAATCAGTGACCTTTATAACCTCATTGTACTTGTTTGGTACTGGTTGTGCAGTATATTGACCATTTCTAGCCGTAAATCTTGGACTAGATGACCTTTGAAGGACCTTTGAAGGTCCCTTCCAGCCCTAACGATTCTATGATTCTATGATTCTATATGTTGGAATGTCGCAATTTATAGTGGTCATAGAAATTAGGCATTCCAGATGTAAAATTGCTTAAAAAGTTAAGTGGGCTCATAAGTGGGGGCCTACAAGAAAGATGGAGAGAGGCTGTTCAGGAGGGCCTGTTGTGATAGGACAAGGGGTAATGGTTTTAAAATAGAGGGACGTAGATTCAGGTTGGATATTAGGAAAAAATTTTTTACCATGAGAGTTGTAGAACACTGGAACAGGTTGCCCAGAGAGGTGGTGGATGCTCCATCCCTGGAGATGTTCAAGGCCAGGTTGGACGAGGCCCTGAGCAACCTGATCTAGTTGGAGATATCCCTGTTCCTTGCAGGGGGGTTGGACTAGATGACCTTTGAAGGTCCCTTCCAGCCCTAACCATTCTATGATTCTATAAATAAGTGGCACATTAGCACAACTTTAAAAAACAGAACACATAATTGACACACTACGGCTTAGATGAAGAGGAGGCAAGAGCCTCTGAAGGTACTATGCTTGCAAATACTCACAGGTAGACTGAGAGAAGTGTGAGTGAGTGAACAGTAACAGCAAACACACCCGAGGGAAGCTCTACTCACCACGGATGCTGAGACTGAGATAAGGTCTCAGACATAAAAACGAAGACCAGAACTGAAATGAACTTAGCGAGTTCACGCCTGGCTGAAGCAAGCAGGCTTTTACGCTCAAGACTTCACCCTCTACCCTTGATTAACAGATAAGCCGACTAAAAAAGTGAGCAGCCAGAGAGAGATAAAAGTCAAAAATCGCATCACCAAAACGGACGAGGCCGGCACGCTCAAAGGCTTGTTTCTTCAAGCTAAGGAGGAGCACAAGCTCACCTTGAAGAGCTGACATGCTGCAGCTGCTGCCTGCCTCTCGGCATCAATCTTCTTGGTCCCATAGCCTTCCACTTCCACGTTCTTGGGCCACTTTATATGCAGAGTGACTTTCTGAAAAGCAAAGATAACCAGTAAAGTGAGACAGCGCAGAACAACCTCTCATCTACTTCGAACATCCCTGAACTCCAGACAATGAAGAGAACTACAAATGCAAATCCCAACCAAACTGCTTGTTCGCTCCCTTTATGGGAAGTTCTGCTCCAGCCATTTAGAAAGAGGAGCCTGAAAAAGGGATACAAGGTGTCCACAGTCACACAGAAGCTGCGTGGCTAAGCCAGGCCGACTTCCAGCCCAGTGCCACGTTCTCTGGGACAGAGCTCCACAGGCTGCAGAGTGTCAGCTCAGAGGAGTCAAATGCAAGAGCTCCTTACGAGAACAATTCCGTTTCAAAGTAACTGCTCCTACTTACACTGCAGCACAGCAGACCACGCCTGAGAAGCAACGTGCTCTCTGTGACACATTTCCAACTGCAATGGCAAGCAACTCTTCCTCACTGCGTCCTCGCTGCCATTTTAACCAGCGGCATGTTGCATCGCTGTTACACAGGCAGGGACTGTGCTCATCGAGCACGTGAGAATCACAGAATCCCAGAATGGTTTGGGATGGAAGGGACCTCAAAGATCACCCACTTCCAACCCCCCTGCCATGGGCAGGGACACCCTCCACTACACCAGGTTGCCCAAAGCCCCATCCAACCTGGCCTGGAACACTGCCAGGGATGGGGCAGCCACAGCTTCTCTGGGCAACCTGTGCCAGTGCCTCACCACCCTCAGAGGGAAGAATTTCTTCATTATATCTAACCAAAATCTCCCCTCTTTCAGTTTAAATCCATTGCCCCGTGTCCTGTCACTATATACCCTTGTAAAAAGTCCCTCTCCAAGAACTGAGCCTTCAGCCTGCGCTGCCTAACACAAGCTATCAAGAGAACTACCAGTACCACCAGAGCTCCTCTTACACCGGTGCAGATGGATGAGAGAGCTGAAAAACCTGCAGAAGCCAAGAATGCTGAAAGCTGAACCCTGCCCTTTTGAAATAAACTGCTCCAAATCAAGAACTCGTTCTGCTCCTGGCCCTGCAGATGCTGTAGCTGAGATTCTGCAAGGCTCAAAGAAGGGAAATGCCTAAGGAATTCTCTCCTGTTTCTGCAGCACAGATGAAAGGTGGCGTTTAGGTCCGCTGGGAAAACCCCACCTATAAGGCTAGAGAAAAGGCTCCCGACTTTTCAACAGCCTCCACCTGGCTGCCTGCCCGCCTGCCATCTGAATCTCATCTTACTGGAGGAAATTGCGACGTATTTTGCCTGGGGCCTCTGCAGGAAAAGGCACAGACCTGCTGAGAAAAGGAGTTGTCTCATGGAGGCCAAAGTTACTTGGTGCTCACGAGAACAGCCGTGCTCACTTCCCACCGAGACATCTCCGGGTTGTCCCACCTGTCCTTCTCTCACCACACACTTTTTCAGGGTGGTTGGGTTTTGGGTTTGGTTGTTTTTTGTGATCCAACCCTCATTTTCTCCAAGAGCTCCTTCATTGGTTTGTTGGTTATGGGGTTTTTTTCCTATTTAAGTGCTAGCAAGACTGTGAACTGAGTGCACAAACTAAACTGATGAGGCATTGGTTATGGTATTCCAAAATTTAAGTCAGGGAACTGCACTTCTGCTCGAGGAAAAGCAAGAAAAACAAAAACACAAATAATAAAGAAACTCTAAAATAACTATTACTAATGTATTGCCTAAGATGCAGGGATGCTTAAAAAGGATGAGGTAATAAAAAGTTTCTGGAAAATTTTAGAATGTTATTGGAAAATTTTAATCCATCAGAACTGAATCTTCTCCTGGAATGTAGGTTACAGTTAAACTTCAGCTGGAAAGGGCTTTGAGCTCTGGAATGAGAGCTGGTACGATAAAAGGAGGCAAACCCTTGAACACAGAGCACCCAGCAGCTCTGAACTTCCACTCAGTGTATGGCACAGATTTGGACCTAGGCCTCTTGCATCCCAGTAAGAGCTCAAGCTACTTGGCAAACTGTTTCCTTGAAATTCCTCTGCTTCATTTGACAAAAAAAAAGTCTGTATTTCATTTTGCCCTTAAAGAGAAGCCTTCCTCCATCGCAAACGAATTCTTCTTTGCTAGTTGCAAGTGAACATTTTATGCTGAGGCATTTGTTATATTAGAATCTACAATAAAATCTAGATCTACTAAGGCCTAAAATACAGCATTTAAATTTTAATTTTCTAAGGTAGTGGGGTACATAGCCCAGCACATTTGAGCGCAGACTATGTGTCTTTCTGTCGAGAAAAGTCGGTTACAGCAAGCTACTTAAAAGAAAAAAAATCCATCCTTCCACACACAAAAGGAGAGGGACAGGACCTGCATTTAGATCCCTGTTAAAGTACGTGAAAATAAAGTGAAACAGAAAGAAGCGGGAATATTTCTTGTTTGAAAGATTACCATGCAACTTTTATGTGGAATTGAAACACTTCTGTAATTTTCTCTATCAAAGAGTCAGTTCCAGGATGAGCAGATTCCTGGCTCAATTCCCACCCTGTGTGCAACACACCGACCCGCCACCCATCCCCGGCACAACGGGATTACCTTTTTTCTTGGCCCATTAGTATGGATGTACACCAGCTTGTCCCTCGCATGAGAAATGCCCAGGGCTCTTCCAATCACGCTGTTGAGCAAGTTTTTAGGCTGTGGAAATTCTTTTAGTAAGTCTCTGGAATCTAAAAAAAACCAAAAAGAAACCCAACAGAAGAACTAAATGTCTTGTAATTCTTGTGCAGTCCTGTTCAAAGGCGTGTTGTAACACCAGCTTCGCTGCAGCTCTGGCAGCACCAGTGTCTCTCAGGTGGTGGGAAGTGGTTCACCGACTGTCTCCGGGCACCAGCAAATGGCGTGCAGGAGTGCCAAGATGACACTGCAAACCCGGAACGGGCAGCAATACCGCACATCCCCTACTTCTGAAACGCACGGATTAGTGGTTTCCCTCCTCGTTCAGAAAGTAGGAATATCCTACAGTTAGAGCTGCAGAACTGACAGTCTATGACTCAGTGACACTAACAATCACATAGCAGTTTGGAAATACTTTTTTTTTCCCCAAAAAAAAGCATACAGTACTAACAGAAAAGCCTGGCAGACTATGTGTACCTGTTGAATCTGAATACAAACATCCCAGCACAGAGTTCGAATCCCAGACCAGCACACGGAGCTGGTGCTGTCTCCTCGCTACGGAGGCACAAGCAGCTCCGTCGGCCATTCTTTGATACCGAAAGCAAACTGAGCACTGACTATTTTGAACAGATTTTGGTATTTGCATCCCCCTCCTGAACCACGCACATCACCTCAGGGTTCAATCGATGGTCTCCACTACACACAAGTTACACAGCAGATGCAGCTGTAACATCTGGGGACTTTCTACTTCATCTCCAGCCCCTTCTCCTTGAACTTATTCAGATTGGTTAGAGGCTGGGAATAGAATCACAAAATCATGGAATGGTTTGGGTTGGAAGGCACCTCAAAGACCACCCAGTTCCAACCCCCCTGCCATGGCCAGGGACACCCTCCACTACACCAGGTTGCCCAAAGCCTCATCCAACCTGGCCTTGAACACTGCCAGGGATGGGGCAGCCACAGCTTCTCTGGGGTCCAGTGCCTCACCACCCTCTGAGTGAAAAATAGGGGTTTGTACCCAACTGCTCAGAGAACCCCTGGGAAGAAGTTTGCTAACACAGTCTCTGGAGATAAACTGGCCAGAGCAGGGAGCGGAGAAGCAGCAGGTACTGGTGGCAGGTAGGACCGGCGAGCTGAGCCCAGCTCCCCTGCCCCGACACGGGAGGAAGGCTGCTCAAGCTACAGCACTGGCAGGAAGGGGATATTTTCAAACGGCTCATTTGAAAAAATAACAGTAATAAAAATCACGCCGCCCCCAGACAGAGCAACGTCACACGCACAGCCTCCTCCCTGATGCCAGCACCAGCTGTTCTAGCTGGCGAGGAAACTGCTCTAACTCACCTCTGGCGTCACCGCTGGATCCGGCACGGCAGGGGAGAGCCTTTACTTTGAGCAGCAGCCCAATCGAGATCAGACTGAGTTTGATGTGATAACAGTTCCCACAAACGGGCAGATTAACAGCTCAGTGTGGCAGTCAGGGGTGGTGCCACCACTTCTGCCAAGCTGCTGCTCACATCAACTGCTGCTCCAGCTCTGGCACAAACCCAAAAGGACGGAGAGATGATTTGGAGCCCTAATCCGACAGAAAGCTAAACCAGTAAAAGGGAGTACACTGGTTTTTACTTGCCTCAAAAGTCAAGCGGCCAACTGCACAGTGCTGCAGGTACCCGAAACCAGCGGCAGGGAACAGGAGAGAGGACCGGGATCGATCTCCCGTTCTGGCAGCAGCAAGCACAGCTAAGCCCCTCTGATCCCATGTCCACTCAACACCACAAATGCACGCTCCTCAGGCAGCCAGAACTTCATTCATCTTCTTGCAGACCATCAACGGGTTTGGGTGCTACTTTTTAGAAAGCTTCTAATTCCCTACAGGTATCCAGGGGCGGTCTCAGCAACGAGCGAGAAGACAGCAACCTGTGATCAGGTACTGCCAGAATCCCGAATTTCAGATTGATCGACCGAACCCCGGGAGAAATGACCCAACAGTCGTGCTCGTTAGAGCACCACCAAGATCCGTCACCATGTTCTGCTGAAAACTCCGACTGCAGAGCTGCAATAATGAAGAGAAGAAAGCAAGCATTTAAGAGAAAGGTTCTGTGACACAGACACATGGAAGAGACGTTCTCCAAGAAGCTGCTCAGCAAAGGACAACTGACCTCACGAGGGCTCACCTGAAAGCTGACCAACAGGGAAATCCCAAAGGTTTTAGGGAAGGCAAAAGAATCATGTTGCATCATGGCAGACCCAACACTTGTCAGACTGTGGATAATGTGTAAGAGAGCAACAAAACATGTTGATGATCATATCACTGTCTCCAAAAAAAAAAAAGTCCACAACAAACAAAAGCCCAGCTTGCTAATCCAGAGTTCAGGAAAACAAAAAATTACTGGTAACACTTAGTTTTGAAAGTTCTGCTGTAGAAAAACCAGCTGAATCTCAGAGAAAACTCCTTCAGAAGCCAAACGGACCAGATACAGAAGGAATTTGGGTTCCTTAACGTACACAGGGAGACACTGAAACAACGGCCTGCGCGGCCTGCCATGAGGATGTCGGAGCTGGGTGTCATTTGAAGACAGGTTGCACTGTAATGCGACAATCGTCCAGTCCTGACTCACAGCTGGAACGGGCTCAGGTTGGTGTCACTTTTCGGCCTGGCATGCAGAGGACAAGCTGGTACTCAGAGGGCAGATCAGAACCGCCGCCTGCTCCATCTCCTTTAACTACTCCAGTGTGGGAAAGACCAGGCAACACACAACGGGCTTTTGGCCGCTCTCAAACACCTGATGGTCAGCCACAGCATCTTCCATTAGAAAGAATAATTCAGGAGCCCCACAGGCTGCTGCTTCTCACACGTACTTGGGCAAAACTCTTGGACAATGCCAGGGGAACACGGAGGAAGCACTCTGATTTATGAACTCTATTTGTCCATGAATTACCTTCACGGACAGGAGAGCATGAGAATGGTCTCAGCCTCGCAAAGAACTACAAGCCAATTTTCTGTACTTACGCAGCAAATGTGACATTTCCACCTACTCATACAGCAAGCACCACTATATTCAGACTTCCAGTTTTCTTGAACAGGGCAGAAAGTGATTAAGATTTTGGCACTCTGCAGTTCTATTCCGTTCTATCCCTCCATGGAGGGAGGGGTGGTAACAATTCCCAAATGCACTATTAAATTCACTTAATAAAGAAGAAATAAAAAAAACCCCAACACCCCACAACAAAACCCTCTAGCATCAGCCTGTATTATTTGGCCTGTGGTTGCTTCCCCTTTCAAAAACAATACCCTGAGAAATTCTGTGATAAGCACATTCTTTTTAAATGCCCCAAAAGACAATGCAATTATCTAAGGACACAGCCAATTTCTCACCTTCTGAGGTGACTCCTCAGCAGAGACTAAATCCTTCATCCATTCTAGAGCGACGAAGAACAGGATCTCTAAATAACAAAGCCTAGCTCTGGCTTGCAGCTCGCTCTCTGAATTACCAACCGAGGCACAATGTATTCTTCCCAGCTGACAATGCCATATTCAGCAGCACCATCTGACACATCAACGGCAACTCCAAGGCTTGATGGATTACCCTCAGTCCATTCTTAGCCCAAATTCAAGAGGTGAAAGGATCTTACATCGCGTGAAGCCATGCCTCACTCGTAGCTTTTAAAGAGACAATTCAAAATTGCAGAACGTTTCCTTTCCTGACAGATTGGATTTCTTGGCATCTCCCTCCAAAGAGTGCCTACTTCTCCCACTGCTGAAAATGGATATTTGGGTAGGAATCATATCAGGGGTAGTCACAGCCCTGCGGAGTCAAGGAGTAGAACCAAATACTCCCACAACGAAACACAGTTGATTTTAATACTCATTTCCTATCAAGTCAGGACCACATAGGATGTCCACACCACTGCTCCGAGATCACGAAGGAATATTAGAGGCCTGTCTTGGATAGCAGACAATTCAGGGTGGGGTTATCAAAGAAGCCACTCAACTAATTTAAGTTTCCCAAAACCAGTGAGTGCTTTAGCTTAACTTGGTTGTGAAAGTCAATGATAATTCACTGAAAGAAAAAGGAAAAAAAGCTCCCAGCTCTGGTGGCTAAGCCTTCTATTAACCCCAACAAATCTGACAAGTAAAGACACCGTCAGCTACAACAGGAGCACAAACAAAATGGCCCATAGTCTTGTGCAAGGAAGACAGGAGCATTAGATGGATTTCAACAGTTTCTGTCTCCCCTCAACCCCTCTTCCCCGAAGAAGCAACAAACAAGCACCCCTGGAGAGGCAACAACGAGCAGCAAGGACAAACTACTGAACGCGACACTCATCAAGACAGAAGCCCCCGCAGAAACGAATTCAAGTCAGCCAAGCATGCTCCTAACGCATCAAAAATTCACAGGGAAGAAGAAAGCCCTCTGGCTCCATAATATTCATTTCGTAAGGAATTAGCCTAGGCATGTTTTACTGGGGAGAGATGGAGGGAGACAGAGAAGGTTCCACCTGGCAGGTTAGTTTGGAGTACACAAACCAGTATTACTTTTTTGGCTTTTGTTTGTGGTTTTTTTTTTTTAACCATCATCTAGTGACCCTGTCGAGGCTCCTTTGAAGCACCCACAGCAATAACACACAAGCAGTTCTTGCCTAACCAAGAACAAACTCAAAAATCGGTAAAACTGACACAGCTTCTTCAAAAGCAAGCGGCACCAGCAGAGAACGAGAAGGCCCGATGGCCAACCTGCATCCTTGGAGATGTTCGGAACTCGGCCGGACACAGCCCTGGGCCCTGCTCTGAGAAGGAGATCAGGCCACAGGACACCAGAGCTTCAGTCCAACCTAAATTCTTCTGTGACACCATGAGACTGCAAATTTAATTAGTCTCAGAGAAGGGTTCTTGCTTGGAGCAAAACAGAGGTCAACATCACGCAAGCCTCTGTAAAGAGTGAGAAGCACCACAGACCTGACTGAGCAGGCAGAGGAGCTCTCTTCTGCACAGATTCTGCTGCAAAATCCCACCACCGAGGCCAATGAAGCAAAGTCTTAGATATTAATACCAATA